CATTCAATCTTTCAACCCCAGAAGCAAGGTGAAGCTGCAATTGAAGATTATGTGACGGATTGCATTGAAGCTTCCTTAATCAGTCTGCTGCTATCTTAAACCTGCTGAAGTGATCCAGAAGATTTGTTCTCTCTGACGTTCTCTCTAAAGATTCTCAAGCTGAAAGCACTATCTTTCAAGAATCAGTACAAGAAGCCTCCTCATCCGACGTGCGTTCAAAGCCAAATTCTGAAGAAAAGCCCAACTGCTCAAGATGAAGTCATTCATTAAAGATTCATATGTTCATCTTGAAGTCATGAAGATATCAAAGAGTAAAGCTGAATCCAAAGCTCCCAATGAAGATTAACAAGAAAGCCAGCTATTTTTTAGGGGGAGCTTGTTGGGTCATTTAAGAAAAGAAAAGAAAGCTATAAACCAAGGGGGAGATTGTTGGGTCAAAAATATGGTTTATACTTTGTTTTTCTAAGCATTTATTGTTTTTATTATTTGGGCCAAAAATAGTATAGGATTAATTGTATCTTGGACCGAGCATTGGATTATTTGTATTTTGGGCTTGGCCTTAGGTCCATATATATATAGGGTGAGGAGTGCATGTGAAGAATGAACACTAGAGGAGCTTAAGTGTGTGCATTTGAAGGTGTTCTAGAGAGAGAAACTAAAGAGAAGAACAAGTGTGTTTTAGTGTGTGTGAATCTCATGTAAAGGATCATCATTCTATTCATTAATACATTGAGATTCATATTATTCTTCTTCTCCTTCTCTTCTATTTGATCTGACATCATCCGTTTGATTGGGATTCCGCACCATCAAACGGATCTGATTGATACACAAGCGTATTGGGGACTTACAATATATATATATATATATATATATATATATATATATATATATATATATATATATATATATGTCACAACTAGCAATTTTGGTTTACAATTGTATGCATGCACCAACACTCTTTTATGTAACATAATTGAACTAGACTATGTTAAGTCAAAGAGGAACATATTTTGGATGCACCATAAGCAAAACATGTGAGATATTGTAACAACACAAGTTTAAATGCCAAGAGGGACCAAAAGTGACTAAAACATAAACTCTTTTGAGTTTGCATTGAGGAATTCGGCCATGGAGAAGCCATGACCGAACATACATGTTAAAGGGTGTTTGGGCCTTCACAAAACCGAATTCTCATTTGTTTTGGGCCTTCCAAAACCGAATTCTCCATATAAGACCCATATAGGACCGATTTCTTAAATTCTAAACTTTCAAAACCGATTTCTCTATATAGGAGGCTGTAAGGACCGAATTCCAACTATATATATATATATATATATATATATATATATATATATATATATTAGGACCAAATTCTACATAATAAGTCCAAGCAAGAAACCGATTTTCTCTAAATAAGGGACTTTAGGATCGATTTCCCCATTTTTAAATCATATAGGACCTACTCCCTATTAAATAGGATAAAATCGGCCATACCCTGATTAAATTAATATGTGTTCGGTCAAAAATCAAAGACTTTTCAGTGGGATATCATTTGTTTATTAGATATCAGTACATAAAAGGTGCATTGGAAACAAAAGTCGGCCTTACCTCTTATTATCCACCGAATTACAATGCAAATCTCCCAAATATCCAGCATGCATTCATGCCACTTCTACATCTTATAACCCACGATTGGAACCTTGTTTCATTTCATTGTATCCCATTTCTTTACTCTATTCTCTCTGAATACTCCAACATTAAGCAGTTTACAAACTCTCTCAAGATCAAGAGTGTAGTTCTTCAAATAACTTCATCCTCTAAGTGATTTTGCTTCTTGGTAAGTGCTTCTACAAACTCCTAGTGTTCTTACACTTATTTATGATCATTTCATTCCATTTACACACAAAAATTTCGTGTGTGACCCTTCATAAGGTGTTAGAGACTTCAAGTGTTCTTCAAGAAAAATCTTAGTGTTTGGCTCAACAAACTCTACTCCACACTTCAAACCCTCTCACAAAACACCCAAGGTGAGCTTCATACCCCCATATTTTCAAGTTTTTCTATGTTTTAGGGGTGGGGGGATACAAGTCAAACTTTGTTTATTCCACAAATAACAATAAGTTTTCACCTGTATGTTAAGGATAAACTATTATTTGTGCAAGTTATGATATTTTCTAGTTTTGAGATAAATATGGTGATATGTATATATTTATCAGCAAAACTAACATGATCAAGGTTATAAAATCACAAGAAAAGCTAAGATCTGTAAACTACATGGCTTTTGGGAACCTTTATTGAAAGATAGTGTTACTAGTAAACTTTGGTACAATATAGTCATTTACAAATCTAGTGGGTTTAATACCCAAGTAATATGTTTTTATTTCATATTTTTCATGCTGGAACACACCTTTATATTTATATAAAAGGGTATATAAATTATTTCAAACCAACAAGATAAACTATAATTGGTATAGTTTGGAAGTCACGAACCACGTTTTTCATAGACACGGTTAATCATCTAAAAAGTATAACTATCCTGTTTTTACAAGAAAAGGAGTCATAGTTCACGTAAATCTGTTAAGGCTCTTGTGAGACATATTTAGTCGTACCTACCTAGCGTACGTGATAAGTCCTGTTAGTTATAATCAGAGTCTCCTGGAGGGAGAGCGGGAGTTTGTGTATAGATCTATACGGGGTTGACACCCCACACCTAAGTTGTTCGCTACAGCTAGACTAGACCAGTCTAGGGTGACAAATATCTTTCGACGGAAACCGACGCCTATAAAACGGCAAGTCAGGCATATCAGTCATATTAGTATGGTTATAACGACTCACATAGGGATAAACAAAACGATTTTTGGTTTACGGGAAGCTTATACTTCATTACCTTTATTGAAATAAATGAAACTATAAACTATTTTCTGTACGATATTCACTTCCATCAGGGTCTTAAGGTTTAAGACCACAGTTCATTTTTAAGGAAATTACTGCATTTTCTGTAACGATATGTATTCTTACTTTACAAGGACAGGATATACACCCTGCTAGTTTTATAAAATTCTGAACTATGATTCGTATATTTTGTAAACTGATTTCACAATTTCGGTCTTAGGGTTTTTAAGACCACAACTTTTCACATAACAGAAAATATAGGATTTTCTGCGAAGACATTCCTGCTAACACAAACCAAGGAAAACGAACAACATGCATGCAACTATACACGGTTTTTGAAACGAGACTCACAAACTACTTTTATAAGAAAATATTGGATTTTCTGGAGTTTTACAACTTACTATGAACACAAATATTACAAAGCTTTCTTACAAAAATGTTTATGAACTCACCAACTTTTTAGTTGACGCTTTTCAAAACGACTTGTATTCTCAGGGATCTAGTAGACAGATATTCACCACGTTCAAGGCCCGGCGTCGCTGCATTATGTTTTCTACTTTTGTTATTCGTGTTTAACTTTTGAACAGAACAAGTGTTGTAAGCAATGTAAACTAAATATTAATGTATGAATGTTTGTGTTGCTATGTTTCATTTATATTCAATTGTTATGATACGACACATGAAGTCATACGCCCCCGGACGTTTCCGTCGTTCTGGTTCGGAGGTGTGACAATATATATATATATATATATATATATATATATATATATATATATATATATATATAACATAAATTTTACATTCTTCATGTTTGCAATATGTTCTTCATTTGAGCTTCAAACATGTTAGTTAATTTTGAGTTTTGAACTAGAAATTTATTTTCTTTGCTTGTATAATTTTATGTTGTCTCAAAATAGGTCATATAAGCTTCTTAAAGGCTTATATCACAATTAAATTAAGAAAAATATATTATGCACGTGTTTCGCAGTCAGCGTTTAGGAGCTTCTAACAAAAAAAATTGATTTAAACAAAAAGTTTCGTTTGGAAGTACGAACGTTTAACTTTTAGTTTAAATAAAACGCGTTAAATGTAAAAGTTACTTCATGTAGCGTTCAACAAAAAAACTATTGAGCATTTTAATCAATTGTCAGAATTGCCCTTAAATTATATTTATATGTTTATCTTTTTTAAACAATTGTCCTTTTATCTAATTTTTCAAATTTTAAAATCTTCCAGCTACTATTGTCAAACACTTGTATAACAAATAAAAGTTACACCTTTCAGCTATGAGATACCTGCTACCAGCTATCAGTTTCCAGCCAGTTTTGTCAAACACGTCATATATATGACGTTAGTTTTGAACATGTTTTTTCTTACGAGTTTCGAACCAAAAATTATATATTTTCAAAATCATGATTCTTTCATTGTGTCAATCGTTCAAATAAAGAAGTCTTCATTTTTTTCTAAGATTTACATAACAATGCCTAAAGTAGCTAATAAATTTTCGAAGTTGTTCTTGGTTTGTGAAAATCCTACAAATATTTGTTGTGAGGGCCATAATAATTGAGATCGAAGATCAGAAATTGATAATATTCAAATGCGGTGATTGGTTATTTCGTAATTATTTCGTATTTTTTTTAAATGACCGTCATTCATTTAATTATGTTAATGGAAAGTGATTATTTTTTTTATTATCCCATTTTTGTAGTGAGGACTTGCTACACAACCACCCTATCCCTACCCCCATTCTCCTTCTATTTTGGGTTTTGATTAAAAGCACATTTGATTTTGTTTGGATGAAACGTAGAATTGGTATGGAGAACAGTAAAACCCCTACATGCATTGTTTTCTTTGCTTGATTTTTTTTCATCATTAAAGTGGGAGCAAATCGGTAGAACTATTAGTATTTGACAACAAAAATGTGTTCTGGATTCAAAAAAACAAATTAATTTCAATTCCTAAGAGCCTCTAGTACTATTTGCAGTTAAGTTAATCTTATGATGATTTGAGCTATTTCGTATATAGATCAGATAACAATAATCATAATAGGGAAATTAAGCTACACTTACATTACCAAAATTTGATACACCAGTTTTACTTTAATTTCAAACCAAATATTAAAAAAAAAAAAACATAAACCATTTAACAACATTCAACAATCATTCATAACCCTCTCATAATTTAAGATTTTCTAGACACTTAACCGCTTCAGACTCATTTACCTTCAACCCCTCCTCTTTCTTAACCAGAGTAGGAAGAGCAGAAAAAACCGGCACCGCCTGTCTCACACAGATAGGCGGTGCCACCTTCACCGGTCTATTCTGCACCACCTGCCGAACAGGCGGCGCAGAGAAAACCGGCACCGCGGTTCTCATAGTAACCGGCGGTGCAAGCGGCCTGTAGTACCGCATCGGAACATAAGCCGGGCAGGTCGGGCGGTTTTGGTTTTGATGTGGTGATGGTAATGATGACGATGATGGAGATGATGATGATGGTTCATGTTTTTGGTACAAGAATGGAAGTATTTTTGACGACGTTAACGGCGCTCGTTGTGGGCTAGGTGGTCGTGGTGAAGGTGTAGTGAATTTTTTATCAAAAGCTATTGGGTTGTGGTCAACGTAGTTGACTTTTCCAATTTTTTGTTTTAATTTGTAATTCATAAGTGCTCTCGCGATTCTGATTTGTTCCTGTTCATCGTTATTCTCCGGTTCAGTCGATGAACTCGCGTCTTGTTTTGCCACTAAAAAGTAAAACAAAAAAGCGTTAAATAATAAAATTAATAATTTATTTTATTTAATTGGTTGAAGAACTCAAAGTCAAAGTCAAAATTAAATTCGTTTGACTTTAACTCACAATGTTTGAGAGATGACCATGCTGACATGGCAGCGTTTTTTTCCGCTTGTTTTTTGTTTTTTGCGGGTTCACCGGTGAATGTAATTCCGGCGAGTTCGACTATGCCGGTGAACACAGGTAGGTGTCCTAAACCGGACCGGTAAGTTGTGTAACGTGGCAATGGTGCACCGACTCTTTGTGAAATTTCTTGTAATAGATTCTTGTAAACCCCAGTTTCATCCTACAATTTAATTTTCATTTTAATTAAATAATATAATAAATATATTAATGATAATAATAAATACTATGACCCTAACAGGGCACATGCAATGCTGCAACAAAGCATTTATAAGCATAGTTAATTTTGGCAGACAAAGGCTATAACTAGTTAACTACTAATATGTGCTATCAATAACTTTCCCATGTGCCATTTTTTCCTTTTATTTTTTTAAATATAAGTTTGAAATTTCATTTATGAATTATGAATTATGAATTAGGAAGGAGGAAGACCACCCATTTATAATTCAAACTTCTTACATTCACATCCAAATGGTCAATAATTCAAAGTGTTCATACCAAATTATCATAATAACAAGTAATACTCCATTCAGTCATCTTTTTGTTACTATATATTTTTTCTATATTTCTCCAGGATTGGCACGTGGCACGTTGTTGTAAATTACAACGTTTTTTACCATTTTCATATGAACAAAAATATATATCATTTAAACATGGAAAAGGTAAAACATTGGGTATAAATTTGTTTTTTTTTTTTTTTTGAATGATGAAATATAGCATATTAACATGTAGATTAAAATCTTAAAATAAGGATTAACAATTGAATAAGTAAACTATTAAACCTACCAGAGTTGTATTTTCACACCATTGAATTGACTAGCTATTTACTACTATAAGTCTATAACTAATCGATTAAATGCTTCATGTTCATGCATCAATCACTTGTACGTTGACCAAAATTGGTACAAGTACTTATGGTGACCAAAATACCCTCACCGGAGAAGCTAAATAACCAAGATTGCCACACCCGGGGGACAAAGCGAGTGTATCATGATTCATGATGCATTGTTAGCTAGTACAGTACAACTCTAAATGCAATCAGACCTAATCGTTCTTCAAAAACTCGAAAGGGACACCGGAAAGGGGTATTTTGGTAAATAATCGACTCAAACGTAACTTTTCCGACGAGATGAGTAAAGTAATTTTCCGGTGAAAAGTAGTAAGGAGAAAGGAACTTACGAGGATTCTGGCGGCGAGGGAGTGGGAGGAGAGGGAGGAGAGAGCGACCTCGGCGGCGGCGTGCTCAGCCTGACGGAGAGTGGAGAAATAGTTAGGGCTTTCAAAGGAGTCGCCGTTGAAATTAACGACGGCCTTGAACCTCGGCGCGTGGTCAGGTCCTTCCCTGATGCACGTATAAGATGGGAGGTTGAAGCAGCTTCTCTGCGCTAGCTCTTGCAGCTGATTCTTATACATCTCCGCCAATTACTAACCGGAAACCTCTCTTATATGTAAACTCCGATGTGTTGGTGAAACAATTAACGGAGGCGACGCCACCGGAGATGGATGAGCGGCGGAGAAATGGGTGAGGTATGAGGGAAGAGGGGGGTGTTTTTTTGGGGATGGAAGTATGTAAAGACCGGTGTGGGTGTGGCGTAAATTGTTTAATGGACGATATAGTGAAATACGCATTAAGCCTTTTTCTCCCCCTTCCTTTGCATGGATGTGATTTTGATTGATTATTTAAAAATTAAAACAAATCATTTTTTTAATTATCAAACTATTACTTTTTACAAAATTATGAAAAACAACATTATCTTACAAATTTTATAATTACAGAAATTAAATATTATATTTTAAAAAGTTTATATCTTTATTTTTTGTCTTTTTATATTATAAATAATATTTTCAGAAGGTAACAAAAGATTTTAGTTTTTTTTTATTGCTCATGACATTAACCCTGATTTTAAAAATCATATAAAATACATGTTTTAAGGTAACTTTTAATTATGATGTCTAAAATTATGTAATCTAATTTTGGGTGTGTTAAAAAGGCAATAATTTTGTGATTAAAAGATGTGAAATTGTGTAAGATTTGAGTGGGGTAATCATGAAATGAAGCACCACTACATAAAGAGGCTAATCTTTTTTGTTTTCTTTGCATATTGGTGTTATTTGAAGGGAGATATGGGTGGGGCCCACTATGCATTACTTCATTGGATGCCTTCCAACTCCCAATGCTTTTTTCCTTCCTTTTAAACTCCAGCTATTGTGTCCATATTACCAGCATACTTCCATTCCATCTGCCAAAAATATTAAAGCAATCTATATATAAATCGAAACAACTTTATCTTTTCTTAGATTTGTTATAAAATAACCACAAAGAAAAAGAAAAAGAAAAAAAATAGTCAACAATAACGTTATGTAACGTTTTTAATACAACATGTATTTTGAATATATAGATATGATGGTCATCAAAGTAAACATAAAGCCGTTGACCTAATAAAATTCGACCAACCCACTAAATTTTAACATTCTTTAACCCTATAAAAACATAAACCTTAAAATGTATATCTTATAATACAAAATAAATTGCAAAATTAATCCCTATGGTATCCCAAAAAAAGAAAAAGTTTGAATTCATTTTTTTCATTCGCATGGTCAGTTCAAAATTAAAACTTACATACATATCTATGATATCGAAAAAAATACAGTTTGAGTATTTTTCTTTAGACGTTAGTTAATTCGAAGGACCAAATCTGAACTTTTTGAGATACCACAGGGACCATAAAAGTTTAAAATTTAAAATAAAATGGACTTTGACCTGTATTTTTTGGTATACAAGGACCAATTTTGCAATTAACTCTAAGATACACCAATATATAGATATAATGGTTATCTTATGTTCATAATTTTTATATGTAAGTGTCACCTTCGAAATTTTTAGCGTGTTTTATTTTTATAATATGTTCGAGAAAAGTGATGGAAGCAAATTGAGGTAATAACAACTGTTTTCTTGTTGACTTTGACCGAATACCTAATGTTTGATCCAACTCTAAGCATCAATCACTTTCTTGTGGACTTTTGAGCACAACTTTGCTTCTAAATATCGATTCATACTATGTAGTCTTCACATCGTAAAATGCCACGATATACCAAATTTGCTGTATGACATATAGGCTGATGTATTTTTTTAACATTTCAAGTGTTCCATAAGGAATTTACAAGAAAAATTAACAAAAAAAAATATATTATTGTTTGTATCAAGATCATCATCAATGGGCTGATTTTCATGTTACATAAAAACAAATGTATGTGAAAAATCCAAAAAAGAAAAAGAAAAGCATGTGGTTTATGTATTGTAACTTTGGAAGTGGGCTCTGTTTTGGATTTTTCCAGTACAAAAACTTGTTTTGAAATGAGAATTTTAGTGAAGTAATTTATTTACTCAGAGACTTAAATATTCACTGAACCTTGTCTGTAAATAGATGTAGATCAAAAGCTGCAAAAAGTCGATAACTCTGTGCAAACAGTAAAACTGACAAAGAGGCAGAAGCACTGTAATTTTATCAAATAAATCCACTGAGTCGTTTATAAAAGATTTTATTAAAAAAAAAACAAAACAAAAAGTGATAATAATGATTCTGTTTTAGCTTTTACATGTTTTTAGTGCAATGCAGTCCACGGTGTAATTTTATTTTCCCCCACTTTAAATTTAATCACGTTTTTTGGAAAGGGTAAAAGAGGACATACATGGAATTAAGGTAGGTGTTGTGTTGGGGGCATTTTGGGTATTTCTTGTTACGTGCTATGCTATTTAGTAGTGGGATTGAATAAGGCATGGCATGCTTTTGATATTTTCTGAGATATTTTATCCACTTGAAGTGCTATTGGTTGTAAGGCTTAGTGCATTTTGAGTTGTTTTCTTCTACAATTTAATAACAGGTGTCTGATTTACTGTTTGATTGCTCTTGTTCATTAAGTTTGTTCAATTTCAAATTTCAAACCATGGAATTGGGGTTATTTACAAAGATGCTCTTGATGTTGAAGTTTTAGAGATTAGTGTAGTATATGGTAAGAGGATTTTACATAATGTTTCTTTGGTAAATTTGTAACATTGCTATTGTAAGATTACAACCACTTATGGGTAACAAAGTTTTTCAAATTAGTATACTAAAAGGTCCCTCAAGTTATTTTTTGGCTTAATAGAGACGTAAAATGGATGTTGACCTGTTTTTTTGTCACCCATACATGATATAGCCAATGTTATATGCCACATAAGTACTTGAAATTTGTTCTCAAATGTTGATGTAGGAAGATGCGGCTTAAAAATAAAACTCTAGGGCTAAAGTAGACATACACACATTTCAATGGGTACTACAACTCTCCTTTAAGTTGTTTTGGCTAGTTTTGATTTTTATTTTCGTGCCTAACAGGGTTAAAAAATAAATGATTTTATAAAAATCATATCTCTCTCATACGGATCCCGTTTTCGGCAAACTTTTTACTAAAGTTTATATCTCGAGGAGTACTACGAAACTCTTTTTTGTACTTTAGGTCAAAACTCAACAAATCTCTAAGTACCGTTTTGACGTAATTAATTTTAATTACGCAGTTGGTTTCTATTTTTATAAAATTCATAACTCTTTCCTTTGGAGTCAGATTTTTACGAATCTTATAACCTTGAGATCACGTTAACGAGTACTATCAAAGTACGTTAACCAGCTTAGAAAACGTTATAACTTTTCAGACGCTAATTTTTGAGCCTAATAGACATTTTTAACAAATAAATGTAATGGCACATTTGATTCTTATTATCTCAAAAATCAAATATTACAATACTAAGCTACTAAATCTATTTTCCTACTCTTTCCTAATGGCGATCGGTGACGGAAACCTCTCGATGTCACATGTTTCAGTTATAACTTCAATAACTTCCTTTTAAACCAATTCAAAAAACTTTGTTACCCAACGACATTAACCCTTAAAAAATTCATCTTTTTATAAAACACCACATATCTGTTAATGCTTATCTTTATAAAATTTATAACTACTTTTTGCAAAGTTTGTAAATCATTTTTTTTTCTTTCCGAAATTGATGACAAACATCATTTCCTTGTAGTGTTTAATTTTGAAAAAAAAAAAAAGTAGAAAATAGAAACATAAAAAAATTTGTAAAGAATTGTAAAAAGAAAATTTTAAAAAGTTGTAAAAAATATCTAAGTATGGGACGAATTTGTACAAAAAACATATGGACCAAATTATTAACAAAATTTAAATCTAGGGCCAAAAATGTAAAAATGAAAGTTGGGGACCATTTCATAGTTCACAGTTGTTTACCCTTTAATGACAAAATAAAGTTGGTAAGTTGCACCTAGTATAGAAAGTGAATTCTCCAAAATAGTGTTAACCCAAGAAACACCTATTGTATTAAAATAGAGATCTTAGAACTTATATCATGTCATTCAGATTCCATTTAGGTTGCTAAATAGCTACATATTACCCAAAAAATCCTTATAATAGCAATTTAGATATTTGTGTCATATCCATAAGTTTATAAATTGAGTGGTAGTTAAGATATGAATAATGTGTATAGTTAATTATTAAACATTTGTATCCTAACTATAGAGTCTTATGACTATTGACCCCTATCATCCTTTTTTTGGTGACTTATCAAGTTACTTGAATTAATTTTCAAGAAAATAGTTTTAAAGAGCACAGTGAAATAGGAGGAGGATGTAAGAAAGAAGTAATGAATTAGGGCTTCATTTGAAATGATGTATTCAATGGAAAGTTATGCATGGTGTAGTAAACATTGTTTGATGAAGAGTTCATGTTGATATTTGATGATATTTGTTCATATAAGAATATTATCTATAGTACATTGGTGTTCTTTTGTTTTTGGTTAAAGTTTGAGATTTTCTTCAATGTAGTAGATTTTGTGGCTTGAGATTGTAACTCCCACATGAGTTAGTTTTGTTTACTTTGGGATTTCCACATTTTTATTGATGTTGTTTCTTATTTTATATCCCATGGTTTATGTCTAATCAAGTAGTATCCAAAGTGTTATCCATTTATAGGTTGCTCAAAACTCAAAAGACATGATATATTCTTGAGTAGATTGCTCAAAACTCAAAAGACATGATATATTCATGTGACTTATATCAACAGTGTTTCTTCCACCCAATACAAGCTATATTGCTATTCAATGTTCATCCATGAGCTGAAATAATAAAACATCAACTTAAACTTGATAATTCAATCCCATTGTAGTGCATTCATCTTGGATCACAGAATTCATTCACACTCAAAGCTTAAACGAACAGAAAGTCATGTATAGCACTACAAATCTAGAAGAGTACCACACTCTGGTCTCTGGACATTAAAACAAAACCTGCAACTCCTGTAAGTTGCAGAATCTAGCTCATTATAGTAAGAAGTTCACTCCTATAAGCTCAAAAACTAGTATTGCCATATGAATTAGATTGTTCTGCCTAGCTCCCACCAAAAATCAGAACATTTATAAAAAAATCGATGTTTAAACATGATATCAGTGAACAGGATAACCTAGTGTCACAATTGTGACTGTTATTTCTCAAACATTGATAGCCTAGTGTTGTTATCACAACAAGATTAAGAAGACTATATGCATGCTTCGAAAACTTACCTCGTATTCGTGCAGTTAACCAAAAGCCAGTTCCAGCAACACTCCATCATTCACCTCCGCGATCCTGCCGCCCTCGGCAAGCTACTCGCGCCAATTGAAGCGTTTAACGCGATCGATGACATCTGGTTCTGAATTGCATCCATTGAGTCGTCTACCGAATCCGAATTACGTTTCATCCGGCTGAGTCTTCTTCTTCTTTGTTGAATGATAGCTTGAATCTGCAGTAACTAGAGATTATAATTTACCAATCGAAAATAGTAAAAGGCGAATTAAAGGTTAGAGAACGGAGAAGTTAGGGTTTTCGAGTGGAGATAGAAGAGCATAGTAGGGGAAGGCCGAAGGCGCCGCCGCATCAGACCATCAGTGCCGCCTGCGAACTTACAGACGTGTTCAGCGTCCTCCGGTATAGCCGACGAACCTAGGTCCGACACATACGGGTCGGGCATGTCTTATTTGATTGCCAAAGGGTGTGCCAACACCGCATGGTGCGGTAGGGGTACCGTGGGTGCGGGAACACCACAACACCGAGGAAAACATCAAATCCATTCCAATTGGCCCCTTTCCCAACTTCTTTCTAGCCGTTGCATTTACGATACATACATGTATTATATTTTGTAAAAACACTATAAATACAAACTTTACTTTATACTTTTCACCATATTAGTCATTATTTTCATCTTTATTTTTTCCGAACTTCACTATGTCATCTTCATCTTCTTCTACTTCATCGGATGCAAGGTTGTTAATTGAAACAGCATTTATCGGAAAAGTGATGCAACGAACAATCGCCATATTAAGAAAAAACATAGCTGAAAGTTCACATACAAGAAGGAAAAAAAACTCCCATATTAAGAGAAGACGAATCTAAAAGTTCACGTACCAGAAGGAAAAAAAATTTCATTTTAAGAGAAGATGAAACTGAAAGTTCACGTACCAAAAGGAAAAAACCTTTCATTTTAAGAGAAGATGAAGCAAGTTCACGTACCATAAGAAAAAAACCTCTTTTAAAAAGAGATCATGAAGCTGCTGACATACATACTGTAGGTGAGGATTCGGACGAGGATTCAGACGAGGAATCAGATACGGATTTAGATGATGTCTGAGGTATCGAGCAACAAGTTGGAAGAGGATTTGGATGAGGATTCGAAATGATGAACTTTTTTTAATTATTGTTATGTTTTAGCTAGCTTTAAATTTATTATTATGTAATTTTTTACTATCTTAGTTTAATTATGAAAAAATTGTTTTTTTTTTAATAAATTTTGAATGGAATTTATAAGTATTAGTTATAACAAATATTATCATAATTAAATGTGATAAATATTAATTATATATAATATTACCATAATTAAATGTAAAATACATTAATTATAAAAAATATTATTTATAATTATTATTTATCACATTTAATTATGGTAATACTTGACATAATTAATACTTCAATCTTATATGTGCCCTTAAAGCACATATTAAAAAATCTCATTTTGAATTTATTTTATTTAATTATATTTAATCAATTATATTTTTTATAGATTCATCCTGAATACCAAAAGTTGAATTAACAAAACGCAACTTCAACTTGCTACCCATTGTAGTGCATTCATCTTTGATCACAAAATTCATTCACATACTCAAAAGCTCAAACGAACAGAAATTCATGTATAGCACTACAAATCTAGAAGACTACCACCACCACATCTCTGGACATTAAAACAAAACCTGCAACTCCTCTAAGTTGTATAAATCTAGCTGAATATAGGAAGAAGTTCATTTATATAAGCTCAAAAACTTGTATGGCCATATTAATTAGATTGTTCTGCCTCTTAGCTCTCAACAAATTCCATCATTCACCTCCAATTTAATCCCTCAGCCCCTGGCTTCTATCAGTAGACGGCGGCGTTTTTGTCGATTGAAGGGTTAAACGCGATCGATGACAACTGGTTCTGAATCGCGTTGAGGGAGTCGTCTAACGAGTCCAAATTATGTTTCAGCCGGCTGAGTCGTCTTCTTCTTTGTTGGATTATAGCTTGAATCTGACGTAACTGGAGATTATAATTTGCCAATCGAAAATAGTAAAATGTGAATTAAAGGTTAGAGAACGAGAAGTTAGGGTTTTCGATTGGAGATAGAACATAGTGGGGGAAGGCGCCGCAGCATAAGACCATCAATGCCGGCGAATTTGCAGACGTGTTCAGCGTCCTCCGATATGGCTGACGATTGTAGGTCCGACAAATACGGGTCGGGCTTGTCGTATTGGATTAGGCTCTGAGGCCTGCGGTACAACTGGACCATTCATGACCCAAGTTATATGGATTTCGTTTAGAGTAAAAAAGGAAAGACAAATGTGTCTTGATTCTATCAACCAAGAAATAATGAAAAATACACTAATCATCAAAATACATGAATTAATTTTATAGATGTTATTTTAAAAAATGCAGACCATTTGTAAGATAATGACATAATCTGAGAAAATCATGTGACACCAAAAGACGACATGTTTTGATATTAAAAATAAAGTCATAAATATCATATGCAAATTATAGTTATTTTTGTAAATATATATAATAATAATAATAATAATAAAAACTACATACAAGTTTTTGAAGTTTTCTTATTAGAAATCTTCAAAGAACAAACAAACCTTGAAGATTTCTAAAACACACACAAAAAAAAATCAAAAATTAGTTTTTTGTATTTTTCTCACATAGAACCTGCGATTTCAAGGATGCGTATGCAAATTTTTTCAAATGTCATGTGCCAAATTGATGGGTATATTGGTGTTGGGTTAATCTTTGATTATTTCTTTTAAGTGATTGGTTAAATAGACATTTTTTTTTTCAAAATTTAGTTATGAATTTGGTCCATATCAAAATTGAAAAGACTATTTTATCATTTATAAGGTCGGTTGGTATACCGGCAACGAAGGGGCTTGTGGTATACGTGGCCACGAGCGTTGTCTGTACACACTAGCCCGGACATTCGAGGTCGTAGTGATTCGTGGTGGGGAGGACGGAGGACCACGGACATTGTCTCTCTCAGACGACCTTCTTCTTCTTCCTCTCTCTCCGTTCGTGGTCGTCACTGGTACACCAACACCGGTTCGTGGTTCGTGATGGTCTTCGTGATTCCGTTGTTCGTGACAAACATTGCGGATGGTCTAATATAATCTTTAGTTGTTTTATTTTTATCACGAGACTTTGGTATCTTTTAAAAAATAAAATTAAAATCATTGCTATTTTGATAAACCATTAAACTTTTTTACAAAAAAAAAAATAGTAAATAGAATGAATATTGATTTTTTTTTTATATTTAATTTAAATTATTATATATAATAAAAAACATTCCTTTATAAATATTATATAGTTTTTTGTTTTTGTAATACAGTAAAAAAAAAAGAAAATCTAATTTCACACTTTAGCCACGACTCTTATTTTTTATTTCATATTTTGGTTATATACTGATAGATTTGATCCTACACATTTGTACATGGACAATTTTCTCGGCTTTGTTATGTAGAATGACACTCTCCATTCTCTTACATTGTAGAAATGCATTTTTAACCCCTTTATTTTATAAAATATCACTTTTGCCCCCTCAAATTTAAACAACGACAATTTCTAACCCTTCAATTTTTGTATATTATCGTATTTGAAGATTTAGTCCCTAGACTTTCATATGTTGGTAAGTTTGGTCCCTCCGAAAACAATATACATAAAACAAGACAAAATTGCAAAAATGGTGTCAAAATTATATTGTTTTGCTCCAAAAAAATCTGGTGGTGCATCAGTGGTCCAATTTTGGATACATTGTGGTTTTGGTCCATATAATTAATATTTTTGTATGTTTTGGTCCACACCCAACCTAAAATGACTAATATGTCATTTAAATAATTATCATTTAACTTTTTTATTTTTTTTCTTTTCTTAGAATTAAAATAAAAAAATCAAACCCACCCCCACCCTACCCTCTTCTTTATCTCTCTCTCTCTCTCTCTCTCTCCAAAATAAGGATTTGGAGAGTTCGAGTTTTTTCATTTTCCAACAACAATCTTCATTCCTTCTTGGAGAAATTGAGCTTATCGACATGTTCAACACAAAACTACTTGAATTCTTCATGTGATGAGACCGATGTTAAAGAACACATGACTCCATCTAAAACAACTAACCCACCTTCATTTCTTCCACTGTAACGCCCGCAGATTCGGGCTAGTCAATTTAAGGACAATAAGCGTCAAAAATGACTTTTTGATGGAAGATTATTTAGGTCGTGTTTGTTTACCTCTTAATTGCAAAATTAAGAGGCAATGTCTTAAATATTCAGATTCAGATTGTTTGTTTACATCTTATTTTTTACCTCTTAAAGTTGTAAATACCTCTTAATTTTTCAGATATTAAACAAAGTGTGAATTTTAAAAAAAGAACGTGTTTCCTACTGTGCCCTAAGGATCGACTTTCACCAAAACACCCAAAACACAGTGCCTCCTCTTCTCCTCATCTTCCTTGCGTTCTTCTTCCCTTCACCACCGCCTGCGACGACGCCGCCGCGACCCAACACTGTCGCCTCCTCCGACGTCGCCTCCTCCTCCGACGCCTACAACAACGCCTCCTCCGACTCCTACAATCCAGGTTCGTTCTTCTTCCTTCTTTCCCCCCGAAACTCAATTTTTTTCTGTTTTTATGAATGGATTGGTCAATGAGTCGATTTTTTTCTCCTCAAACTCACGCCTCCTCCGATTCTTTCTTCTCTTCGACGCACACAAGCACCTCCGCTCCATCTGCCGTGTTCCCCAAAACTCGATTTTTTTCTGTTTTCTTTTACCACCAAGAGGATAGTGTCTGAACTTGTTTTATGTGTTTTTAATATGCTTGAACAAAATCCCTTGAACAAAATCCCTTGAACAAAATCCCTTGGTCAATTTTATTATGAATGTAATCAGGGGATAATCATTTGATGTTGTCTAATGGCTTTACTCACATTCGGTGGGCTTTGCCTCTCTGTGCTTATGTTGATACTTATGAATCAAATACAAGTTGAAGTTTAACATTGTTCAAGCTGTTATGTTTAAGTTAAAATGTTGTTCGTAAATTTGTAAACACCATATTGGAGGTGACTTTCACTCCATTATTTGCTATATCTTGAATGTTTTGCTTCTAACAGTTTTGGATTGGGTTTTAAGTGTTGATGTATGTATAAATTTTGATAAACTGTTCTCTTAAAATGTTTAATGTGGGTGATTCTTTAAAGAAGGGTAAAATGGTCATTTGTATAATTCAGCACAACAATTCAGATGTTCCAACCAAACAGCATGTTAAACATTCAGCTCTTAAAATTTCAGACCCTTTTAGGAATTCAGATCTCTTAAAATTCAGATCTTAAAAATTCAGATCTTACCAAACAGCCCCTTAGAATGATTAATCTTAACTAAGTTGTAGTATATGTTACAAAGATTCCGTACATATAAAGAACGCTGAAATCCGAGTTATAACGAAGAAGTTATGACCTGTCGAAGTTTCGCGACAGAACCGGCCGGCACGACACAGCGTAACGTAAATAGTGAATTTAGGATAGAACAATTGTTAGCCTTATTGATCTAA